TGTTGCACCTCTTCACAAATGCCAAAATTGGGAGGAGGGCCTCTAGGTACCCTAAATATGTAATCTTAATAGGATCCTTGTATTCGGGGTGCAATCCAAACCATTTGTTGATAGACTTCCTCAGGCGCACAACCTTTTGCAACATAGTACAAGTACTATTCCATTGAGTCTCTATAGACTTGATCAGCTGGAGTACCCTTTGCAGCTTGGGTACCCTGCCCTCTTTATCCATCTCATCAGAGGGTACCTCTGATGCAAACACCCCCTCATCATCATTAAAAACTATGCTATTACCCCCCTTTATTATTTCCACTTGTAGCTTGCGCAGCTCAATGGTGGCTTTTGTGCTGGCACGTATATGGTTGACCAACAAGGCGACCCTACCATCGTAATGACACATGCATAATACTGATTAAGCATTTACTAAATAGCAAAAACCGTAGTAGTAATAGTAGCAACACATACGTATATGCACCAACATACACCAACACATAGCAACATGCACCAACACACACCAACATGCACCAACACACACCAGCACTCACCAACGCACACCAAGACACACCAATATCATAATTTACTAGTCTATTGCATTGCGCAGCTTTTGGTAGCCTTGATTGTGGATGGTGCGGATGTGCAGGTGAGTCAGACCATGGGTTATGGTATTATGGAGCATGTTGGAGGCACAACATAACCAATCTGCCATGTTGTCTTTGGGTTGCACCGGCCTCAGCTTCCACTAGCTGCCCCTAATAGCCAGCATAATATTGCATCCGGTATCCATGGCAAAGGACACCTACCACCCTTTTATCCCATACTTATCTATCTCCTTTTAGGCCAGCTCCACCACCATTGCATACACAAGCAATAAAGCCGAATATCAGGAATAAGAAATAACACAAAAAGATGGCAGTTAGACACTTATTGTGGCCCATTGCTCCCAAGTCCCTCACCTTCAGTTGTTATGCTCTCTGCCTCCACTAGCAATGACCCCATGCAACTGCTCCACAACCACCACTGGTAGTTGGCATAGCTGCCATGCTGGTGCGTCTCTTCTGTCTAGTGTATGGTTATTAAAAATACTCCCACTGCTTGTTGGAGCACTAAAATTGTAGGTGAAGGCCGGCCGCACCTTATTCCTCTCCTCCATCCCCCGCAACTTCTACACCGCCCGATGGTGCATCGACACCAACTGCGACAACAACAAAAGTACCACTTTCAAGCTGAAAACCAACACAATTGTGCGTTGTAGACCACATCACATAGGCACTATGGGATAATACAATATATTGCATACAATGCATGCGACGGTGAGGTAATAGTCGACTTCATTGGTATTGGCTTTCTGGCTGAAGGAGGGGCAGTGGCCGTTGAGTGCCTTGCACATGCGGCGGAAATTTGGAGACTCGACAACGGACAACTAAATGCTATCCGTTGTGGTCCAGCGAGTGATTGCTGACTACGTTTGATGCCCGGTTCTACTGGCAAAGGCCTCCTACTCTATGTACTGTGCAAACCCCACCTTGCGGCCTTGCTAAGCCACCTGTGTAAGAAACTCAGCCATGCAAAAAGTGACACCGTCCTCTTGTGCTTTACCTGCCAGCTCCAAGGCAATGGGCAATATCTGCAGTGTGACCTTATGGTGCCCCATATGCTTTTCTGTAGTCAAGAAGGATTAAGACTCGAAGGAAATCCCTTTGTTGCATATATGGCAAATGATCTTGTTGTGGCCATCTCCTTTCCCCATAACATTGTCATAACTCACGAGGGCCCTAGGTCACCCTTCTTCCATATACAATGGCTTCACCCACCGGCTGTTGCCCTGCCCGGGCCCCAACGGTGGGCCCACACACTTATTTGTGCTGGAGGCGACCGCACTCTAACCCCTCCCTCTGTTTGGGCCCGCATTGCCCTAGGGGGTGCATTCCCACCCTAGCAGCCCACCACACACTTCACCCTAGCACCGCTTCCAGAGGCGCCCCCCGACATGGTCAACGGGCCACTAGGTGTCACCACCGGTACACAAGCAACTCTCACCCTGCCACTGATTGATGCACCCTTGGGATCCCCGGCCAGCAATAGCCTTTCGAATGCCTTGACAACTGGTGGTTGTCCAAGGTTTGGAGCCCTTTCTGCGCTGGGTTCCGGATCCTATTCCCCCAAGTCACCATGTGCCCATTGTTGAGTTGTTGAGGTCTGGTAGTGGGGCACTACTGCCAATGGACGCCACCCGGCCCTTCTCCCCTACCCCTGCCACCACCATCTCCACACGACCAGATCCCTCACTATATGGGGTGCTATCCGCCTTTGTGGGTGCCCCTTTGTCTGGCCCCGGGCATCCCCCGCCTGACACTATAGAGCACCGCCTTGGTAAAACTGGGCTGGGTGACGGGACTCCCCAACCTTAACAAACCACAACTTCATCTTCTTAATCTTGCCACCCATCGCAACAAGCGCAAACTGCATAGTGCGGGGGGCAAGGGCACCACGTTTGTGGACTGCGGGGCACGTGGCCCACACGTCAAATCCGATCACCGCATTCTCATTGGTACATGTATGGATTTGATGTTGTTATGTACCGCACGATGGACTATGGAACGGGCTTTAAAATGGCTTGGAACGGCCTTTGGAACGGCCTTTGGAACGGCCTAGAACGGCTTCTGGAATAACCTGGAACGGCCTATGGAACGGCCTGGAACGAACTCCGGAATGCCATGGGCACTATAGGAACGGATTCCTGACGTGACCGTACTACACTAGAACGGAATTGGCATAGCTACACACCGTTCCAGATCCGTCCCGACCACATTCCAGCCCAGGGACGACCGTTCCCCAGCCGTTCTTGGGCTTGCGGGCCCAAGAACAGGAGTAGATTGTAGTCCGTTCCCGTTCACGTTCCTGTCCCCATTCCTGGATGGCCCACATCTGCTCAACGTTCTGCAATAACATGTCTTGGCAAATCCGTGACATCTCCATCCCCAGAGTGTGATATCGATGTAGCAACGAGCCCTGCATTTGGCTATTATACGTCAACCCCAGTGATCCTCCCACTTTTTGCATTCACACTTTGGTGACGCATGTCGCCTCTATCACTCTCATGGATATTGTCGTAGGGCACCATCCTCGTTCCCAGCCTGGCCTCGTCTGTCAGGCAAAGCTACCCGTACGACTGGGCAAAGTAGAACAAGAATTCGCAGATTGGCGGAAGAACTACCCCCCCGGAAGGGGGGGCCCTGACGGCTGCGGGGGCCCAGAAGACATCATCGCCTTCTTGAAACAATATGCATGCCATCATTGGTGGCAGGTGCGAACATAGACTCAACATGGGGAGCGAGTCGTGCACTATAATATGGTGGAGAAGGAACTATAGTGGAGCAGAGAGCGAATGGCGGGAAGAGGACTGACACAGGAATCACTGCCGAGCCACAGTTGTGCGGGCCAAGAAGCATGCATACAGGGAGCTGCAGCACCTCCAGGGTTTGGGAGAGAGCAACGCCGAACCCGTGCCTGAAGCGACCTACCGACGTATTCTGCAAGCCTGCTAAAGCGCATATGACTCGTATGATACGAGATGGCCGGTAACCTTGAGCCCTCGACCCCGTGCCAGGGCTTATGGCAACCCGTTAAGGTAGTAGCAGGTGTAACTCACGATGATGCGGTCATCAGGGTACAAGCTGAGCGGAACTCCGAGTGTTGCTGCAGCGGCATCCATGACAGCATTAATTATAAGGCAAAGGACATTAGTTAAGAGCGACCACCTCTTGGGGGCATTCTTAGCATCATTAGGCGTTTAATTAGGCAGCGCAATCAGCATGTCCGGGTAGCGCAATCAGCGAGTGACGACGATTCGGGGCTATGAAAGAGCACAACACGAGCGGATGGCCAACTGCCACTCGCGTTGGCCTCAGCAACCAACGAGTCCCAGCCCGCACACCAGCAGCAGCAGCCAGCCCGCAGCAATGGTGTTGCCCAACGAAAACAAAAGCCCTGGAGAATGTCTTGCCCGCTCAGTTTCTTGGGCAAACCCACAAGCACTGGGGAGACTATGATTTGAGCTAAATGAGCTATGGTACTGATTGCCACTTCACCAATTGGCTAAAATTTGGCACTGATTCCACAATCTTCCAGGGTATGGGTCAACCTTGACTGCAAACAGGCGAGTTGTGCAGAGTCGGCTCTTGGCCTTGTCTTTTTGGACTTATGGGTTTTAGTATGCCAGACACAGGTATCTAGGGTCAAGGCATGTGGTACGCATGGCATCACACGCATGAACCCATATATTGTCATTTGCTGGTGTACTTGCTGTGGACGCACATGTTGCTGCTGCGGTTCCTGCCAGTTTCCAAAGGCACTCCCCTTTCATGACGGCCAGGTTGATGCACAGTACCCAGCATCGTCGGAAAGGTGTAAGGCCGGTGCGTCCCACCATGTGAGGTTACCCTTATCACAGCCAGAAAGCCGTCTTGCCATCAGCAATCTCTCTGCATGTGCCTGGCACAGTGTTCGCTTCACCTTCGCTACGATGCCAGCGAGGTTTGCTCAGCTGCTCGCCCGCACCTCAGAAAGCACATGACTCCTAAAGAAGCACTGGACACAGCATGGAATGACAATCTTGTCGCCCTCCAAAGATTGCTGAAAATTGCCTGTCTTGTGTGTCACATATGTCCTTGGAATTGGTGAAGGCCACCAGAAGCCAACCAGTGGCGATGACCTCCTGAACTGACAGGCGCATCTCGAAATTGCGCCATCCTGCTGATTCCCAATCCAACAAGATGTCAGACCCCATTTTACACTGTCCTACAATGGCCTTCATGCCCTACCTCTACCAACTGTAAAACTACAAAGCCATGGCCATGGCTGGTGATCTGTGGATGTGCTCACCCCTCTCGCTGAACACCAGGATGAATAGTCGCCGATGCAACCTATGTTGACCTTATTGCCACAGGCGACGCGGCCAGAGCCAACACCGCCCCCCAATCAAAACCGCGAGTGTGCGGAAACTACCTATCCCCGCCATCACCACCTTGCCCACCCCTGTAGTCGAAGAGCACCCACGCACACAACATTGTGTGCTCCAGAAGCCTGAGCTCCTGCATCGTGCCCCACACACCCTCGATCACCTTGGCCGCCCTCTGTGCCTCTGCGTCCCTTTGGTTCCTTGGGGCCCCTGCCCGCCTCGGCACACTGCCTGCATCCGAAGTCGCCAGCAGCCTGACCCGCCGTTGGTGCAGGTGCCGCTGTGAGGAGCTGAACCAGTGCAGCGAGTCGAAGGCCTCCCGCTGGCCAAGCATCGACACCACATACGACAGCCCCAGAGCAAAGCTCTCATCTGCAAAGCCCACGACGTCTGAGTGCCCAATGCCCTGCTGCTGCGCCTTCACCGAGCGCATAACGTCCACATGGTCCAGGGTCAGCGCAGGCACCAACACAAACAGTGACTGCATGCCAGACAGCATGTTGTCATCCAGGGCAGCAACGAACGCCCGCCTGAGCAGGCCGAGGTATCTTGTGTGCCCTGGGGTAAGGCGGCTGAATGGGCCCATGGATCGGTCGAAAGTCAGCCCTTGGGCAAGCACCTCCTCAGGCGCCTGCACCTGGCTCAGGCAGTCGTGGAAGGTCTTGAAGGAACGAACGATGGCTCGTGGCAGCAGGCTGCGAGCCCTCTCCCCAAAGTGGGCCATCCCCTGGCATAGGATCATGATCAGGGCCACCGCACGGCCCACACTCACAAGCTCGAACCGTATGGCTTGCAGCGGGTTCATCGACAGGGTGCCAGCCTTCAGCAGCGCCAGCACCTCCTTTCGCACCAGTTCTGCTTGGGCGACGGGGTACTGGTTTCCCACAGCCTTCTTGCTGTTGTGCCAGCGCTGCGTGGTCTGCGAGATGATGCTCCGCGCCTCTGCGGCCAGACACAAGTTGGCCAGATCCTTCAGCTTTGTGGACAGGAACTGTGTCATGGATCGAAGTGCGGAGGAGACACGCAGCTGCCTTGCGGTTGGTGGTTTGGCAGGGCCCCCACCCTCCTGGCCCGAGTCCTGTGAGTCAGCGGACTCATGTGGGCTGATCTCCCGTGCCTCGCGAAGGTAAGTCCAATCTGATGGACCAGGTGACTGCAGCTGCAGATCGAATATTTCGCTGCCCTCGCAGACCTCTACCTGTGGGGAGGGGCTCTTGGGGCCCATCGATGTCGATGCTTCAGCTACAGCTACCCCCAAGCCAACAGCATCAGCCTCAGACGAAACCCGCCTCACTGCTGAAACATCTTCCTGTTCCACTACGCCATCGCCCGTTGACAACGCCATCGCTGCATCGTCTTCCTTCACATCTCCACCATTATCAGTGCCAACGCCAGCACTGTCTCCCGATTCGTCACGCCGATCCAGGTCTTTCTCCACACACCTGAAGGAAATGGTTCACTTTGGTTCAGTTGCCAAGCAAACAACAATCGATAAATTTGCAACTCAAACACAAACACAACAAAACAACAAGCATTCTCTGACACCTGCACGCTTGGCAAGGTAACAATCCCATCGGCGATGTCTGCTCCAAAAAGATGGTCGCCACTAACATTTTCAGAAAAGCCAAGAAAAGGGTTCCTATGCAACGTACCTGAGAGCCTCAGGGCCAATGTCCAGCATGTCGGCCTTTATTAACTCCACAAACTGGCTGACATCCACATGTTCAGGGGTGTCCGCAAGGGTACCCAAGGGCATGGGAGTCAACTTCACAAATGCAAGGCTGTGCAGCTGTAGTGAGTACGTGTCCGCAAAACGCCTCACGCCCTCTACAGTGCTCAATTTATCCAGCTCCGCACTAAATACAGCCTCTTGCGCCTCTACTGTGGCAACCTTCACTCCATATTTGCTTGCTGCTAGATTCCTGATCAGGCCAATCGTCTGCCAGTCCACTGAACCATGAGACAACCAGCTTCGCATCTTCCGCTGCAGGCTCTCAGACACATAGTGTTTAATGTCAACTTCACTTTCACCCACTTTCAGAGTTGTGAGCTCCATTATGGGGCTCAGATTTCTCAGTTCACCCATGTTCTGCGGCATCGGGTCCCCATCTTTTGTGCCTAAGACTCGTGCCTGCTGGTGCAGATCCATCTCCACAGCTTCGCACAACGGATCCAGCAGGTGGGTTCGCACCATTGCACTGAGCTCCAGCTCAAGGTCTTTGGCAGAGGCATTGAACCCCGTGCTGTCCAGCAAGTGCCGCACGTCAAGGAAGCTGCCCACCAGCTGCCCAAGTTGCGCAGCCCTGTGGGAGTTCCACAGCATGTCATCCAGAATGTTCCTCACCAGCTCTGGGTGAAAGTACAGGAACTCACACTTGCCCAAGACCTCCACCTGCTGGGAATAAGCCGACAAGCAGTCAAGCTCATCCAACAGGTGCCTCATGCCAGCCATGGCCGGCTCCTCCACCACAGACACCCCAGAGAGGGCATCGAAGGTTAGCCTCAAAGACAGCATCTGCGGGCTGCACAGGTCGCTCTCCGCAACTTCCATCGCCTGGCTGATGAGCCACGCGCCCACAGCCCTGCTTTCTGAATCCCTTTTGTGATTCATCACGCCAAGATACCTCATTGTGCCCACCCCCATCAGCGGTGCCTTGTTCTTCTCCAGCCTGGTCACCTTCTTCAACGTCTTCGCCAGCTGCTCCACCAACTGCGCCTTCGTCTGGCCCATGATATCAGGAATCCTGGGCTCGATGACGTCCCCAAACTGCCGGAGCGTGGCGGCCACGGACTTCAGCATGCATATGCAGTCCGCTACGCACCACAGCCCGCCCTTGCTCAAGGGCTCCTGCTGCTCCACGTGCAGCTGGATCACCGTCTGCAGCAGCGACTTCAGCCGCGTCAGCAACTGCAGGCCCTCCACCACCACCCCCTGCAGCCTGGCCAGCCAGCGCACCCTGATGGGGGTCTTCATACTCTGCCTCAGCGCGGCCAGCTCCGCGGACCACACCGCCCCCTTGAACGCCGCCGCCTCCAGGGATTCCTTCATCGACTCCGACACCTCGGCGAGGTAGGCGGCGGAGTGGCCGGCGGCCTGGCGCGCGTAGTCCCTTGGCAGCAGCGGCAGGAAGGAGGGCGGCAGCATGTCCAGCAAGAAGCGCGCGGGGTTGACCACCAGGTTGCAGTGCAGGGGTAGGATGGGCGCCTTCTGCTGCACCTCCGCCAGCTGCCGCACCAGCTTGCGGTCCCGCAGGCCCGGGCAGCCCCAGGAGCAGGTCACGAACAGCACCAGGCTGGACAGCAGCAGCCCCCTGTCGGCCGGCATCTCCGCGTAGGTGTCCAGCCGCTCGAGAAGCCCCGCCGTGGCGTCCCTCAGGTAGAAGTCGATCACGTGGCCGAAGCGCTTGCTCTTGAGCAGGTCGGCCGCCGCGCCCTGCTTCACGTGCGTGTCGATGAACGTGGTGTAGGGCCCCATGCGCAGCGCCTCCTCCATCTTCACCACCTGGCCCTGCACGTCCTCCAGCACGCCCAGATCCTGCGCGTGCCTGTCCGCCTTGGACATCATCGTGTGCAGCATCCGCCGGTAGGTGAAGAACAGCGGCAGGATTTTCAGCGCGACCACCGTCTGCGCCGTCCACAGCACCAGCAGGCCCGCGCCCGCGGCCTCGAACGCCCTGTACATCACGCTGCGCCGCATGACCACCGACCCGTCGCCGTAAATCTCCCCCACATGGGCCAGCAACTGCGCCACCACCAGATCCATCTGCTCCAGGAAGTCCAGCAGGTCCTGCAGACAGGGGAGGAAGCCCGCCAGCATAACCTCCGCGTCGCCCATCGGCGCCGGCCGGCCCCCGGCCAGCCGGTCGCCCACGATGCACAGCATCGGGTACACGCGCTCCCGTGCCACGCGCTCCAGCAGCTGCACCTCGGAGCACAGCACCACCAGCACCTTGATCGCCTTCAGGCTCTCATGCCACGGGTCAGGCCCCTGCGATTCCGAGGCGGAAGGGCAATTTTCCGCGGAGGGCCAATCCTCGTCGCCCGGCTCAGATGCATTACGAGGCCCGGCCAGGCATGCGGCGGCCCTTGGCGACCAGCCCGCCACCCAGGCGTCCACGAGGCGCCGCTCCTCCTGCAGGTCGACGTCCATCGCAATCGGCGGCGGCGGCCGCCATTCAGCGGCTGGCGGGCAGCCCGCAGGCGGCGGGGGGTCGGCGGCCGGGCACACGGTGGGCGGGGGCGGCGCCTGTGGGGCCACGCGAGGGGGGCATGGCGGTCTGGGAGGGTTGGAATGGGCGAGGGCGGTTTTGGGCGCGAAGGGGCGAGGAGGGGGGAAGCAGCAAGCGGGGCGACGGCGAATCGTGTACGTTAGGTAGTCGCGGATGCTCCAGATACAGAGCCGACAGAGACGAGACGGAGACGGAGACGGAGACGGGACGGACATGGAGACGAACATGGAGACGCAGATGGCGGCCATGTGCATACAGACCCCGAACCCTAGCGCCCGACCGCCCAATCCTCGCCCGGCTCTGTTTTTGTGGCCGTCTCCATTTGTGCCTTGTCTTCGTCCGCATGGTCCATGCCGGAACAGTGTGGGAAAGTTGCGATTGACGGCGGTTGACAATGGGTGGATAGAGATGTGAGTCATAGTTTTGAGTGGCACGTTATATGCGGCAGCGAAATAAGAAATTAAATCCCCATTTGGTTCACTTGTTAGAAGATTGGTTTATATACTAAGATTTCGTAACGATTGTGAACCGTAACAATGCAAAGATATATGATTGATGGGATCCACATGACCAATGCGGTTAACAATCCAACATGTGAGTGAAAGATTTTGTGCAAGGGATTGACATTTTTGTTTGGAATACATAATTTGGTGCGATATTGGTAAGTATATAAGCAGCAATCCCAGCAACCTGTAGTAGTGCGCTTGCAGTTGCATTTGAATTGCAAGAGTCACTCTTATGTTATGGACAGACCGTTATGGACAGGGTGGAGTATTGATGATGCCTCATGGATACCTGCTGGAAATTTCACCTATGCACGTGAACTTCAGAAAATGATCAAGAGGGATAAGCCCGAGGAAGACACTAGTATGGGATAGTGTGCTTTCGGGGGCGAAAGCTACCCCAAGAGTGAACCAAATTGTGACGTGGCTGCTTGGGGTTAGGCTAAAATTGACATTTCTGAAGCGGCGGTTGGTCAAAAAAGTGCAAATACGGCAAAATCAGCTTATTCAGGAGCTCCTGATGCCAATAGCGACTTGAAACGTCCAATTCCGTGTAGAAACGGCGAAGTTATGGCCATTTGAAGTTGCAGTACTTTAGCATGGGATTCGGACCGGTAGATGGAAGCATCGGGGATTATGTGGAGCTGATTTAGGTGAACGGTGGACGGTGACGATGTGCCTGGACGCGCACTTGTCTTGTCTTGTCATGATGTGACCGCGATGGACCCGCGATCGGGCATCGCGCATGCGATATGTGCGCGCGCATGCTGTGAATCGTTGTAACACTTTTGGCCCACTCTCTGGCCTCCCGCGAGCCAGCGAACCACCGTCTCGCTGCGCCGCCACCTCTCGCTGACAGCAGGCCCCGGGGATCGATCCCCGTCGAGCATTGGGCCCACCACGCGACCACAGGAGCGACTGCCCCGGATACACCCACCGTCCAAGGTGGAGAGGGCCGGCTGACCTCCAACAGCCGAGCTGCAGGGCAGGGCGACCCCAACGCCTCCGGAAACCAGCGGCTGCCGACGGGGCCGCAACACAAATAGGGATTTAATTTCTTATTTCGCTGCCGCATATAACGTGCCACTCAAAACTATGACTCACTAGAGGTGGCCACCCAGATCCGCTAATAGCGGACAGAGGTTAATTTCCGTTAATTTTCCGTTAATTAACGGAAAATAACGAAAAAAGACAAAAATTAACCAAAAATTAACGGATTTTTGGATTTTTTGGGGATTTTTGGGTTTTAGTCATACTTATAGTTTATGGAATTCGCTATTATAGAGTATGTTTGTATTTTATTTCAACCTATGCATACTAGATTTTCAACTAGCCGCAGTTGTTGTGATTTTTTGGGGTTTTTTTCGATTTTTTTGGATTTTTTTCGTTTTTTCTGAAATTTTCTCCCTTTTTCTTTAATGGAATTTAACGGACAGCTGATAAAAATTAACGAACCGGACTTAACGGACCGGATGGCATATTTGAGTGGCCACCTCTAT